CCCAGGAATCCGGACCCTACCCACTCTCATGGCCTTCCGAAAGGCTATCGAAACCTGGCTATTCCGATTAGACTGGGTGCATGATGTGGCTCTTCTTTTAATCTGTTTTCCTCCGTTTTTTAACTTTTTTACTTTTTAAAAATTTATTTTCTGTAAGCCGCCCGGAGTCCTTCGGGATTGGGCGGCCTATGAATTCATTAAATCAAATCAACTCAACTACCTGTGGAGTGGTTCAAGACGAGGGATGGGGAGAAGCAGAAGGTGTCTGGGAGGAAGCTACCTGAGCGGGAGCTTCTGGGAGAATGGCAAGGATAGAGGTGGACCAAGTGGCCGCCCGGCCACTTCTGCAAATGCAAAGCTTAACACCTGCTCCTCTCTCGGATCTCCAGGGCGATCCCAACATCCCAGCCGGCCAGCAGACGGTCGAGATCGACCTTGCCCATCCCATCCAGCTGCCTGACATTGAAAACCTGAGCAACTTCAGCGAGCTCTCCCGGATCGTGCTGGAGGTCCGCGAACAGGTGCGTCGGGAGCAGCAGCAGCAGGAAGAAGGCTCGGCGGAGGAGGCGGGGCCGGAAGCCGCAGGCCAGCAGCAGCAGGAGGAGGAGGACGGGGCTGGATCGGAGGCAGCGGGAGAAGGAGCAGCCGCCTCTGTCTCCCCACCTGAGCCCTGCCCCTTCGTCCTGCCTGGCGGGATCGCCTCCCGAAACGAGGATTATCCCCGCACCTGCAGAGCATGGTAATGTTAAAGGCTGGGGGAGAAGGGGAGGGGGGTTCCCATGAATAATGTTGATATTGAGTGAGAGTCCTTTAAATTCCTGCCCCTGCCAGGAACTCGTAATCTGAGATAACCCAGGAGCAAAATACAGTAAACAGAGGTCTTTCAAACAGTGGTTTATCTACAAGGGATATATACATACATGTACTAGGCAAAGTTAGGCAATCAATCATCAGCAATAGCACAGAAGCACCCACTGAGAAAGAAACAGAGATGCCCTCACAGGGCCTCTCTTGCATATACAGCCTCTTAAAGTCGTATCAGCCCCCCCAAAAAACCTTGCTGTCTCCTTCTCATTGTATCATCATTCCAATTTTACAGCCTTAAAGCAGCCTTAAATCGTTACCTTAAGATATTTTGTTTTTCTGTGTCAAAACTGGAAGGAAAGCTTCAAAACCCCACTTTGCAGAACTAACCGCTGACCGCATCAATATTTTGATTTAGTAATGCAAATCGGGAGGAGGGATTTATACCGCTTTGGAAACGGAGGATCAAAACAAATTGGTGGCCGGTCTCGGCTTAAAGGCTGCGATGAACGTGTTTCTCAACCATCCTGGTCCTGTCCCAAAGATGCTTTTCAAAAGGCAATTGAACTTTCTTGTTTTTTTTTCCTCCCTTGAAAACATTTTGCTTCTTGTCCAAAAAACATCTCCAGTTCCGTTCAGAAGCTTCTAGGATGAGAAGCGAAATGTTTTCAAATAAAGTTTTTTTTATTTTTCTCTGTCAGATTGATTCACAAATATACATTCTTATAGTTGCTATTAACATTTATTTATTCATCATTAATCTTTATCGTTATTTTCTTACAAATATATATGGGTGACTTTCTTGCCACCCAATGCCAACATCTTATTCTGCAACAACCTTGCTCCTTCTATCTTCTCAACCTCCCTTCTCTGCCTTCTTCTTTCCTCCTCTCCTTCCCCCTTTCTTCTTCCCTTCTCTGAAAACGAGATGTTTTCAAAGGGGAAAAAAAACCCCAAGAAAATCCAGTTGACTTTTGGAAAAAGCAAAAAGGAAGTTATTGGGAAAGTCTCTGCTTCTTCTATCTCAGTGGTCTCCAACCTTGGCAACTTTAAGACCTGTGGACTTCAACTTGCCAAGCTTGGAGACCACTGTTCTTATCTGAATGGGACGTGGGAAACGCTCACACTGTCTTTATTTCCCTTCCGCCGCTGGCAGCTTCTATGGGACGGGCCTCATCGCCGGACACGGCTTCACCAGTCCCGAACGAACCCCCGGCGTTTTCGTTTTGTTTGACGATGAAAGTTTCGGCTTCATCTGGTTAGAGCTGCAGTCGTTCAGCCTCTACAGACGG